TCTTGGCGGCCCAGAACACACTGCACGCCTCGACCTGCGCCCACACACACACCCCACCCCAGAACCTCGACGCGGCGAGACCTCTGAGAGATGGATAGGGAGGGGGAGGGGGCAAGGGAAATGGGGGGGGTGTAGAGAGGAGAGAGATGGGGAGGGAGAGGAGGAGGAAAAAGGGAAGCAGGATGAGGGGGGAGGGGGGAGGGGGGAAGGAGGAGGTGAAGGAGAAGGAGGAGGAATAGTAATATGAATAGGAGGGGGAGGAGGGTTGGGGGTCCGGAGGAGAGAAGGGCTGAGAGGGGAGAAATGATAGAGGAGAGGGAGAAATGGATAGAGGGAGGGGAGAGGGAGAAATGGATAGAGGGAGATAGAGCGGGAAAGGGAGATAGAAAGGAGGGGAGAGGGAAGGAATATAGTAATAATGGATAGTTGTTGGTTCGGAGGAGAGAGGGATTGAGAGGAGAGAGAATAGATAGAGGAAGAGGAGGTATAGAGAAAAGAGGAGAGATGGAGGACTGGGAGATCGGAGAAGAGAAGAGTTGAGAGGAGAGAGATGGGTAGGAAGGGGGAAAAGGGAAGAAACGGATAGGGGTGGGAAGAGAGAGAATAGAGAAAAATGGAGGTTTGGGGTTCGGAGAAGAGAATAGTTGAGAGGAGAAAGCTGGACAGGGAGGGGGAAGAGGGAGAAGACGGATAGGGTGGAAGAGAGAGAGAGAGAGAAAAGAGAGGAAAGACGGAGTTTCGAAGGCTGAGCAGAGAAAGACGAGTGTTGGTATGGGGAAGAGGTGGAACTCTTTCTACTCTATTCTTTCAGTCTCTTTATCTAAATCCGTTGTTGGACATAGGCCTTTCCCAGACTTTTCCACGTCGCTCTGTCTCCAGCCTTTCGGTATCAATGCTTTTTGAAATTCGCTGACTCGACACGAACGGCCGTCGCGTTGTCTGAGGCGTGTATCGCGATGGGGAGGGAAGGAGGAGGAACGAAAGAGCAGAGGTGAATGTTGGAGTTTCAGGAGTAGGAGGTTGGGAGAGGAGATATGCTGGGGTGGGGTGGGGGTGGGGGTGGGGCGGGGAATCAGGGAAGAGGATTAGGAGGAAAAAGAAACTCAAGATTAGTGGTGGGGGGGAAGTTAGTAAGGTAGTTTATTGATAGAAAGAAAAGACGACAGAAAGGATAGGAAGAGCCGAGATATAAAGAAAGTAAAGAGAGGCAAAGGTAGATGCAGATAAAAAGAAATAGATAAAAAGAAAAGCGATAGACAAGGAAGATAGACAAGTAAACAATATACAAAAACAAAAACAAATCATGAAACGGAAGATTATCAAAGAGGGATGAAAAAGAATAAAAATGAAAGAGAAACAAACGAGAGAAGTGAAAGACGTATGATAGAGAAAAATACAATGTATTCAAAATCAGAATAAAAAAAAAATTCACAAGAAAACAAAATCATAAGAAAAGATAAAAGATATGAAGAAAAACATGGATATAAGAACGAAAAAGGAAATAAAAGAGAAATATGTTTAAAATGAAAACATGAAAGGGTCATTGAAGAGTTATTCATTTATACCAAAATAAAGAAAACAAAATCACAACAAACGACAAAAAATATGAAGAAAAGCATAGAGATAAGAACGATAGAAGAAGTAAAATAAAAATTGGTTTGAAAACAAGAAACAGGTTTGAAAAAATGAAAATATGAAAGAGTTTTTAAAAAAATGGGAAGAATGGAATATATGGCAATTTCCGCAAGAGAAGTTTTGATGTTATCTGGACCAACGGTATATAAAAAAGTGTGACACTATCTGCCTTATTGCTTCACTCCATCTCTCTTCCTGCTTATTGTTCTTCCTTATTCCACATTCCCTTCTTCCTTTCTCTTTTCTCCTTTCTTTGCTCGTATTTTCCCTTCCTTCCTTCTCCTCCCTTTTTTATTTTCTATTCTCTTCCTCTACCTCTCCACACCTATCTCCCTTTTTTTAATCCTCTCCTCTCTTCCCCTTCTTTCCTTCTATCACGTTTCCATTTCAATCTTTTCTTTTTTCACTTCCCCTTTTTTCCCTCCTTACTCTCTCCATCTCTTACTTCTCCTTCCTCTCTTCCCCTCTCCAGTCCTTTCCTCTTTTATTCTTTCCTTTCCTCTCTTCCTCTCTCATTTCCCTAATCCCCTCTTTCCATCTCACCTCCCTTCTCTCCATCTTTTCTGTAACTCCCCACTCCTCTCTTTCTCCCCTCTTTTCTTCTCGCCTTCTTTCATCTCCCTTTCTTATCCCTCTTCCCCTTTTCACATCTTTCCTCTCCCCTCTCTTTCCTCCCCACCTTCCCACTTCCCTCTCTCTTCTTCCCTCCTTTTTTCCTCCTCGTTCCATCCCTCTCGTCCCCATTCATCTCTCTCACACCCTTCCCTTCCCCCCATCCCTCCATCCCCTTCCCCTTTCCCTTCCCCCATCCCTCCCCATCCCCCCTTCTCCCATCCCTCCCTCCTACCTCTTTGCCCCATCCCTTCCCTCCCCCTCCCCATCCCTACCTTTAGCCCATCCTTCCCATCCCCTACCCTTTAGCCCCATCCTTCCCATCCCCCTGCCCTTTAGCCCCATCCTTCCCATCCCCTTCCCCTTGCCCCATCCCACCCCATCCCCTTCCCCTTCCTCCCCTTCCCCTTCCCTTCCCCCCCCTTCCCATCCCCCCTTCCCTTCCCCTTCCCCATCCCCCTCCCTTCTCCCTCTTCCATCTCCTTCATGATGTTCTTCTCGCCCCGCCTGGCCCTCCCCCAGGACCGCGACTCCCCGCCTTCACCCCAGTTCTAATTTAAATAGTAAACATGGCCCCGGGGCGAACTCTGGCTCCCCGGATAGGAAACACTTCTTTCCCGTTCTCGGTAGCGGTATCGTAGCCCCCTCCCCTCTCCCCACCCCAGCCCATCCGCCCGTGCACCGCCCCACCCTTCTAGGATGCCCTCCCCCTTCCGACTAGGGCCCCTCCTTCCTCCCGTCTGGGACCCCTATCCTCTCCCTTAGATACCCCCTCCCCTCTCTTCTAGGACCCCTACCCCTCCTTTCGATACCCCCTCTCCCTCCCTTCTTGGACCCTATCCCTCTCCCTTCTAGAACCCTCCCCTCCCTTGGACACGCCTCCCCCTCCCTGGACACCCCCCTCCCCCCGCGCATCATGGCTACCCACACAACCCATCGCCTTCATCTCCTTTGCTTTACTGTTATGCTTTTATTGCGTCGTTCTTGGCTTCTTTTCTTCTTTCTCTTATACCTATCTTCTTCCGTTTTCTTATAGCTAATCCTTCATCCCTCATGCCTTTCCTCGTTTTTCATGGGCGTTCGGGTTAACTTCCTATTTAATCATTGTTTATCTTTTTTCTCTTCTTTCTTTCTCTCTTTTCAGATATTTCCTTTCTTCAGTTCCAGTCCAATCTTCGTGATCGTTGTATCTAAAGGAAGGACTTTTTTACATTTTCCCTTTTCATGTTTTTTTTCTTCTATTTGTCTTCGTCATTGTTAAGCATCCCTTTTTTGCGCTTTTCGGAATTCCTTTGTTTCTGACTTGGTAGGACTCGAATGACGTCATCACCTCATCTAAAGCTTCCTCCTTCATATTAGTCTTGGAGAATCGCTCGATCTTTCTCGTCTCTTTGTTCTATGACGTCATTCCTCTCCCGCGCTCTCTTTGGCGCCGTGACGTAGCCAGTGAGCGAGGGAAATGGAATCAAAATGGTGGCGGATATGACGTTAGAATTGGTATTTTTAGTTAGAGTCGTTAAGAAGAAAAGAAAATGCGTGGAAGAAGCGCGTGTAACAAAAAAAAAAAAAAAAAAGAAGAAAAAAATGTGGTGGAGAAGCGAGTGTAACAAAAAAGAACAACAAATGCATAAAAGAAAAAAAAAGAATGCGATGGAGAAGCGAGTGTGACAAAAATGTATTTCAATTAGAAGAAAAAAAATGAATCGTTAGAACCGCAGGATATCAATGGCACTAATTTACAATAATTAGATGAATTCGTGGAAGGCGGAAGAAGGAAGACAGGAGGGGAGGCGGAAAGGAAGGAACCGAAGAGGAAGTGAGAGGAGGGTGGATAAAGTAGAAATGAGGGGGAGAGGAGAGAGGTTAAGGTAAGAGGGAAGGGGAGGGGAGGTAGAGTAAAATATAAAGAAAGGAGATGTAAGAGTGGATAAGATAAGAAGAAATAGGAGAGGAGGATGGATAACGTAAAAGAGGAAGGGTAGGTGAGGGGGAATAAAATCGGAAGGAAGGGGAGGGAGGCTATATAAGGAAGGAAGGGGAGGGGAACGGAGGGAGATAAAGAGGGTTCTATAAAAGCCGACAACGGTATTGTTCTAGACCACCTCTTCCCCCCCCCCCTCCTACCCCCCTCCCTCATTTATCCAAGGACATGGGCATTTCCTCAATCATGGATAGTTAAGTCATCGCTGATCACGTGAGAAAATGGATGTTAAGATGGATGGCTTTGTAATTGGAATTTATTTATTCTTAATTTATGTATAGGTCTTGACTATCCGAGCGGGAGAAGAGATACGAAAGGCCGGAGGAGAAATAGATGCTGTGATAGATACACGATGTAAAGAATATCTTCTTAAGTGGTTAAATAAAAACAAAGGAAAAGAGACAATAAAAATGTGGATGCGGATTAAGATGCGGAATTTAGGAGAGTCAAGAAAAAAAGAAGAAAATTCAAAGAAAATCATGTTGCAGTCAGAACGAGAGACAACTCTATAGATGATAATATACTTTGATCGATAGTTAATAAAGTTGATATGAACTGTTTGAGACTAAAAGACTGTCTTTCACTTCTGCGTATGTGTGTGTCAGTGTTTTTTATGATCCACTGAGCTCAAAAAATATGCAGAATCATAAAAAAAACACCAACACATGTACAAAAGACAGACTCATTCTTTATCCGCAACCCAGTTCCATTTTTTTTATTTAAAACCTATACTCATCCAGAAGACACATTGCAAGCGCGCTGAGTAGCAACC